ACTATAAATGGTTTTCTCAAAGAAAATCAGATTGATAATCTGGACAGAGCTTTAAGTTTGATCAGATATATAAACAAACTTATACACTACATTATTATATTAAAGAAAATATGAAGGAATGAGGACATACATGTTGCAATAGTCATTTTAGTCAATAGTGCTTTCAAATGGATGGTTCTATTTCTATAGGGGTGTTTAAGCTAAAGCAAAAATAACAATAGCCCATTTATAAATAAATAAACATAAATATTTCACTCACAGGCTACCAAGTTTGTTTTGCATATTCCCTTTAATGAATAAATTGTCTGAAAAAATTTTTAATAGTATTTTGAGGATTTTTTTTTTCTAAGGATAAAAACAATGATGACGAGGAAGTACAGCCAGAAGCTAAAGTAAAGAAATTTGTAGTAATCCCAGAGGCAGCCCAGGAATGCTTTGAGATGGTGAACCAGCAGCAGTGGGAGAATGATATCATATGGAATGCTGATGATGTCAAAGACAAGGTGTTGAAGAACACCCAGGCTGGTAACCAGGCAGGGTGGTTGCCCACACAGGCCCACCGCACTGCGTTCCAGTATCACCAGGAAAAAGGTAAGCACACCCAGGCTGCTAACCAGGCAGGGTGGTTGTCCACACTGGCCCACCGTAATTCTGATGTTCTTTTTTTTCTCTTTTCACAGAAATTCAAGTCAATACAAAATGCAAGATAAACCTTATATTCTGTACTACTTTTTACAATACATTACATACAAAGACATTTGTTATGACGGCACTGGAAATTCAAGTGCATACAAGGAAGGATACAAATTATTTTTAATAATATATCTATATTTAATAGTTTTCTTTTAATTTTTAAATAAATTTGTATATATTTTTAATCATTTTTTTTTTATTCAGGAGAGAAAAATATAAGTCACCTTGAGTCGACAGCTTTTGGTGTACAGGGAGGGTTTGTTGGAGGTAGGACCCCTACTGCAGGATCCAGCCACAAAGGTGGAAGCAAGAATTCCCAGGCACCTGATCCAGGTATGTGTCCAATAAATTATCAGTTCTGTTCGTTGGAGAAGCATTCTCATCACAGCCTTAACGCCAAGACTAGCACCACACGCAAGATCCAGTCAACATTTACTTCTTCAATCAATCAATCAGTCAATCAGGATTTATATAGCGCCAATATCCACGACAGAATGCAATGTTCAGTTGCGCTGTGACAATGACAATTTTTGTTGACACGATAAGAAGGCCCTCCAATTCAAGATCCGTCTAATTCCGAGACCCTCTAATTTGAGACCACATTTCCAAAGTACCAACTGACAAATTGCAGTTTTTGAAGCCTATAGTTTTTTTACTAAACCCAGAAGACCACCCAACATTTCCGAGTCCCGAAGAGGTTTCAATTTTTAAAGCAAATTTATGATTTAATTCAATTCAAAATAATTTTTAAAAAAATTTTACAAAAGCCATATGTTTGATCTTTTCTAGGCATTATCTACTAAAACTTAACAAGTGAATGAATTTTTATCTGTTTCTTTGTTGACATAGCTTCAACTGCCATGGCTGTTACTCAGAATTGGCATTCCATATTTCCAATCGAGAATGAGAACTTAATTTATGGACGTTGGGAAGATGACATCATCTGGGATCCAGAGGTTTGTTCTTAAGTCATTTTTAGCTCTGATGAGGAGTTCTAGAAACACTCGACTGATTGATTAATAGATCTTGTTTAGATCTACTGCCTCTATTATACTGCCCTCATGAAGAGCTCTAGAAACACTTGGCTGATTGATTAATAGATCTTGTTTAGATCTACTGCCTCTATTATACTGCCCTCATGAAGAGCTCTAGAAACACTCGGCTGATTGATTAATAGTTGGTTGATTAATAGATCTTTTAGGTCTACTGCCTCTATTATACTGCCCTCATTGGAGCTTTCGAGATATGATTTCATTTGACGAGTAAATGAAGTACTGTATGAACAAACAGTAAACATGGCATATATTGCATATGCCATTTTCATTATTATCATCATCCAAGGATTTTTTTTGCTTTTTTGCAGAATATGGATAAGATCCAATATCCCAAGCCGCTGTTATTAGATCCGAATGATGAGAACATCTTGCTGGGTATCCCAAAGGATAAGAACCCTAATCAAACCCTTTCCCCAACTAAGGAGAAGAAGGAACCAAGACGATCCCAAGTGCTGCTCAAGAAAGCTGGAGTCACCAGAGATGACGATGACGAAGTATGCCAAAAACTTTTTTTTTCAGAGACATTTGAATGTATATAATATGTTATAAACAGGAAAAGGTCCTGGTTGGGGCCATGGGGAAGACAGTGGTATTGAAAGTGCTGCATGATGCATCTATGAAAGTTGTAATTTGTGTATGCATATCTTATTTAACAATCACCTTTATAGCAATTCCCCCCGCCCCCCCCATTGGTGTTTTACACGTTGCATGACCCCAACTGATATATTTCTGCACCGATAATGGTGATTTTCGTTGTTCCTTTAGGATGACCCAATTGAAGATGATGAGGGAACAGATCCGTACAATATTTCAAATGATGAGTACTATTACCCCAAGAATATTGGTGAGAATAAGCTCAGAGTCAGCATGGCAGGAAACCTACAGGTAATAGAACCTTCCATCATGCTCTCTATTAAAAATTTCCTAAGCTGGGCACTTACTACGCACGGCGGTCATTGGCCGACACGATTCTATGGAGAACGCAGTGCCACGACGCTCACGCAATGGGTTGTTTTTGATGACAATCTGTTTATACTGCTACTGACAATCAGCTGAAGGCATTGCATTGCTATCACTCAGTGGAAGTTGAGTTGCGTCCATTGTACAGCAGTTTAAGACGGTTGTACGATGCAGTAAGTACCTGAATATACAAGGTACCACTCTATGGGATTTTGTTTATGACTTTCTAACACTCTGTAAGCATTGACCTGATTTATAAGCATTTTTTTATTTTTACATTAAGATGGTTAAGATGTTTGCTTTATAATTTAGGCTCCTGGCACCAAATCCTAAAACACCATTTTGCTATCACAAGTAAAACAACTCCACTCACCTATCCTCATACTGTAAAGGGATTTGGTTTAGAGCATTACATCATGTAATTAGTAATTACTTTTTTATGTAAACATCAATATTTATTGTTTTTTCCCCTTTTATAAAAGGCTGAAATACAAGTTACAATATCGCACCGTCTTTCGGATGAGACATTTAAGCCGTTGGTCTTGTGTGCATTTATGGCCCATATGTGCACGTTAAAGAACGCAATACACTCTTCGGAAAAGAGTAGGGGATTGTCTCCCGGTGTACTGTCCAATCACTACCAGAAGGACCCCACTGGACACCAAATAAATTCAATCCAATCCAATCCAATTCATCACAATAAAAAAAATCCTGTGCTTTAACCTCATAGGGACACTTACATTATGTATATTGGACCACTTTTATAAAGTCATTTGCAGTTCTTGGTCTGTATTACTAAATAAATAATGAATGAAATGAATAAAGTTAACAGATTAAACTGTTGTAACGTCCTTTTCAAATTCCATTCTAAAAATGTTTTAAATAAAAACACTTTTTTTCTTTTATATTAGTAATTTCATTTAATTATAAAGCCAGGCTTTTGAGGAAAAGCAAATTTTGATACGGTGTACTACTGATTTTTCTAAGAGGCAAAAATAGTGTTTGACAAAAAACTTGGAAATGGTTAATGAGATAATGATTTTTGAATATTTAAAACCTCTGGGAAAAAGTTTTTAAATATTATTAATGGGTCATTCACAATTATCAACAAGTGTACAAACAGTACTCTTTTTCGGTATCCCCTCGCTCCCCTCTGAAAGCGTACAAAAAATGTTGATTTTGCAAAACCATTCTCCATTTTTTTGGTAAATTCAACTAAAGTAATGTACATGGTTGCTTAAAAATGAATATTATATCCATGTTTACATTTTTATTTTACCATTATTTAACATAATGCTTGTTATTTTGAATCAAAATTTTTATACATATGTAAAAATGTAAAATTTGTCTACCCTCTCCTTTTTAGCATACTACACTAGTGAAAATGTAGAATAGTATATAATTATGAAGGTTATTATAATTTTTTAATCTTCAGAAACCTGGAACTGATGCAAAGCCACCATCATTTGATTATGGTGAGACAACATTTGTACACACCTCCCCATTCCTCGGAAACATCCCCCCTGGCACCTCCCTACAAGCCCTTGAGAACAACCTCTACCGCGCCACGATATACACAGACAAGATGCCGACTACAGATTTCTTGGTGATTAGAACCAGACAGAAGTATTTTATTCGGAACCTGAACACAATCTTCACTGTTGGGCAGGAATGCCCGTTGAT